ATTGAAGAAGCCTACAATATTCGTGGCAGTCCACAGGAAGACCACGGTCCGGTATTAGAGGTTAGCCTCCTAACTAGATTTTCGATAAAAATATGCAAAGGTCCGAGCAAAATAAAGAGTAATGTAACGTTCTTGATCGGTTTAAACAAGATTACAGAAGTAACCAAGTCTATCTTGAGTTTTATGCTATTCAAAATAGGGGATCAGCAATTTTACCTTACAATCTTAACTTCGAATAAAAAAGCATATTTTAGAATAAGCATGTAATTACAAATGCAGAAAGACAAATAAGGCTGCCGACCGGAAAATGTGGGGCATATTGTGCAGATAAGTATAAAAATGCAATCATCCAGATTGATTTTTCAGTGGATAGGCTTCGAAACGACTGGGCTGAAGACCATATAGAGAGATAACGGAATCCGAATATTCTTGAAGAGGACCTGGCTCATCGGCACCAGGCACTACAAGTAGAGGGCCGTAAATATCGGCAATAGTACCAGGAAAAGGATTATGCTTCTTTCGGGGCCTTTTAGGCAACTCAAAACGAGCCGTGAGGTTTTTAGCGAAGCTATCACGTAAAATGCGACTGATAGCGTCACGATAACGGGGCACTCCAGGAAGCTGATCAACCTGTATTTTAAGATAATCAGGGATATGGCGGAACAAGAAAAATTCGATGACGCTAATTAAAAAAGAAAACTAAGCCAGGCTTATTATAAGATAAGAAATAATCAGTGAATATGAGCGTAGAGATTATAATTGAGTTGTATAGATATATTTGGGCAGCAGAAACTTGAAGAATAAATAAATGATAATAAATTAAAATATTTGCATGAAGATTTGAAGTTGTAGTTTGCCATTTTATATGAATTAAACGATTTTAAATTTAAGATATAGTCATGAAATAGGTAAATTAATTGGAAGGTTAAATTATCAGGTCTTTCATCTCATCATTTAAAACTTCGCATCACCTTAATAATAGTGTTGCTGGGTTAAATATCAAACATGAGCTTTCTATATTAACATTCGTTTACTCCTAACTGCCCTGATTTGGATCTCATATGTGCGATGCATTTTGAAGGAGAA